AAAATTGCCGTTACTGGTTTAGTTTACTTATTACTTCTTTAAAAAAGTAAGTAAGTAGATCTAACTAGCTTGCTGGGGTAGGCCTGCTTCGGATCATACTCTACTAACTGAACCCCCAAATTAAAAAAAAAATAATGGAGTGTCTACGTACACGGTAACCGGGCACCTAGCCTCAATATCTACGTACACGGTAACCGGTAACTGGGCATGTAGATCTAGTCTCAGTGTCACGTAGATCTACAGCAGGGTAACCGGGCAGTTCAGAACTCCAAGTTCAGTTTTTGTCATCTGGTGTTGCCTTCATCCCCACCCCTCCCCCGACTATACTTTAAAAAAAGTCAATAATTCCCCCATTCCGGAACCTTATACTTCGCAGCACACAGACTTTGAATGAACTTTGGTGACCCCAACCGGTACTTGCAATGTGATGCACACAAGCAGGTTCACTGACTGGTCACGATGGCGAGCCCGACAAGATGCATTTAAAAAAAAAATTTTTTTTATGACTTTCTTTTTTTTTCATCAAGTGACAGCACAGGACAAATATTGATATCTTTTCATTCCAGTTACCGTGTACGTAGATACTGAGTCTAGGTGCCCGGTTACCGTGTACATAGATACTGAGTCTAGGTGAGACTAGTTGCCCGGTTACCAACGTGTACATAGATACTGAGTCTAGGTGAGACTAGGTGCCCGGTTACCGTGTACATAGATACTGAGTCTAGGTGAGACTAGGTGCCTGGTTACCGTGTACATAGATACTGAGTCTAAGTGAGACTAGGTGCCCAGTTACCAACGTGTACGTAGATACTGAGACTAGGTGCCCGGTTACCGTGTACGTAGACACTCCGTTAAATGAATGATTGATTGGTTTCTTTTCTGTAACTAATTCATTCATCCACCAATGCTCCCATTCAGGGTTTAGTAACTGACTCTACTTAGCTATGTGTACATAATGAAATTCATACATCACATATATAATGCAAAGATTTCCGCATCCTACCAATTTTGTGTGTGTTGAATACATAGACTATAGGCTACATGATTTGTGTTCCATACCTCTACGACTTCGAGATTCGTAGGAAACGGAAAAATGTCTGTATATTCCGCTGATTATGCTGTGTTGTACGTGCGCTTGACAGTATAGAGTTTTCCTCTATGTCAACCGCAACCACTCTTCAAGAGTGCCTCATAAAGTGACATGCAAATGGCTCTATTTTTCTCAGGAAGGAACCACTGCAAACAATGAGAAAGGTTCAAACCATGTCCTTAATTCATGACCCAATGTAATTCTGAATCAGCTCTCAGAAGTGTGGAATCAGGATAGGATCAGAGTGTGGAATGACAATAACTGTAGACTAGGAACTACACTACATTGTTGTGGGATATATTGCTGCTTGCATTGAAGATGAATTCATAGTTGTCCTTTGTACACTTATGATTGATTCATATTAATAAATAAGAAATTTAAAAAGTAAGTTTTAATGTGTAATACAGTTGTATAGGGTTTCTTGATTGCTACTCTTGTAAAAGCAGGATTTTTAAGCGGGTGATAGTAAAAATTTAAAAAAAAAAAAAAAGATT